GCTGCATTCCAGGCCCACAGACTTCCAGTCTCAGGGGAGAAGCCCAGGAAGCTGTGGGTTTAACAATCAGCCCAGGTGACTCTTATCAGAGGAGTGTGGGAAATAGTGTTTCACTGTGTTGTGAGGCCTCCAGCGCCCACAGCACCTCATGGCCACCCCCTCTGCTTGCTTACGTGTTTCTGGGGACAGGATCCTCGCCACCTCTTGAGGCAGCAGGCCCACTTGGGGAAGACATGCTGTATTCCAGAATTCCTTGTGGAGTGTGGCCTACCCGGCCGCCCTGGTGTGTGTGGAGTTGGCTCTCCTACAGGACAGACCATGTCTGCTGGGACCTATGTCCTTCCCTCTCCCAGCTGGGTCACTGCCTCTTGTTCCTCTGTGCCTCTGCTGGGCAGACAGCTTCCCTTCTTAGAGAAGAGTGCCTGGGTGGAGGTGGACAGGGGATGGGGTGCTGTGGCCTGCCTGTAGTGGACTGAGGTGGCCACATCAGCCTACCACCTATAGGCATGTTGCTGCATGGTGGGGACCCTGAGGAATGTGGGGGAGATACTAGACTTCAGAACCCCCTGGCCTACCAGGGACTCTGTCTTTCCCCAGGAGAGAAAACTGACTCAGGAGAAGCAAAGTTGGGGGGAACTAAGGCCTGAAGGAGCTCCCCAAAGGCTACACACCCATTTAGGATGGGGCTGGAACTGTGAAGGTTAAGGCAAGAGGCCCAGTGCCAAGGGCCTGGCTTTGGGATCCGCTGATACCTCCCCCATCACCTGAGGTGTGCATAGCCAGGCAGGGGAGGGGTCCTGCCTTCTCACTTGCTGGAGGCCGAGGGAGACAGCCAAGGCTCTGAAGGATTTTAGTGGAGCCAATGCCCCTCGGTCTGCTATGGCAGCTCTTCCTTTCATCTTCCTGGCACTTTACATTGTTGGCAGAGGGCATAGTATTGAACCATTGCCATGGTTTTATAATTTTATTGTAATAGATAATTAAGAGGGGAGGAGTGGTACACATTTCACAGGTGACACCATGTACTGCAAAGTAGGGAACCTTGTAAGTCCTCCCTACTTGTAACCTCTTCTCTGCACCTGCCAAATTCAACCACATCATTCGTCTCTGTGGGAGAAGCCTGGGACCCTAGAGGAGTGTTGCCCTTTCTGGTACTGGGCATATACTTGTCCTGTGATCACCAGTCCCCTGGGTCTCCATCCCCTAAAGTCTGTTTTGGTGCTTTCCCCTGGGAGAAGGAGAAGAGGGATGCCACCTAACCCTCACTGGCCTCTGATTGGAGAGCTCTGAAAGCTAGGGAGACAGAAGAGAAAGACTCACTCACCCTCAGGAAGACCCTGCCCCAGAGAGAGCGCACTGTAAACATAGGGGCACCTGGGAGGTCAGAAAGCCCCGGCCAAAAAAAAAAAAAAAGAAAGGGCTTCCAGGAGGAGGTGCCACCTGTCTGCTGGCTTGTGTGATAGGAAGGGGAAGGGCATGCCAGGTGAGAGTTGAGAGGTGTGAGGCAGCCTATGGGGGTGCTTAGAGGAGTGAGATGGGGCCGGCAGGGCAGGGGATGGGCTAGAGAGGCATTTTGAGGTATTACATCCATGCAGGAAAGTGTGCAGCTCAATAGATTGTCTTTTTTTTGAGACAGTGTCTCACTTTGTCACACTCTGTAGAGTGTTATGGCATCACAGCTCACAGCAACCTCAAACTCTTGGGCTTAAGCAATTCTCTTGCCTCAGCCTCCCAAGTAGCTGGGACTACAGAGCCTGCCACAATGCCTGGCTAGTTTTTGGTTATAGCTGTCATTGTTGTTTGGCGGGCCTGGGCTGGATTCGAACTCCCCAGCTCTGGTGTACGTGGTTGGCACCCTAGCTGCTGAGCTACAGGCGCCGAGCCAACAGACTGTCTTGATGTGAACGCACGGAGTAGCCACCATGCAGATCAAGAAACAGAAGATTTCAAACTCCCTAGATGCCCCCATGTGCCATCTCTCACTGGCTCCTCAAGGATAACGACTGTCCTGACTTCCAGCAGCCTGCTCTTAGCAGCTGCTGCCCAGCAAGCCACCTGAAAACTTAGTGGCTTCAAGCAGCCATATGTATTAAATCTCACAGTTCTGCAGTTTGGCTGGGCCCTGCACCTGGTTTCCTTGGGCTCATGTGGCTTCAGTCACCTATAGGGTCAACTGGATAGGAAGGTTGGAATGGCTTCTGTTGCATGGGCAAGCAGTACTGGCTGTAGACTGGTCAGTTCTCTTTCCTCTAGGAGGATGGACTGGCCCCTTCCATGGTCCATGGAGTAACAGCAGAGCCAAGGCCAGGAGTGGCAGACTCTTAAGGTCTAGTCTCTATAACTCACAAAATATCACTTTCACCAAATCTTCTTGGTCACAATGAGCCTCATGCCCATCCCAGATTCAGGTGTGGAGTCTCCACCTCTTGCTAGGAGGAGCTACATACAGAGAGTCTGAGGCCATGTTTACTATAGTGTGAGCATAGTCATTTTGCCTATTGATGACCTTTAGACACGATGGCCATAAAGTTGGTGTGAAATTTAAAATAATGTACCGGCCAGGCGCGATGGCTCATGCCTGTAATCCTAGCACTCTGGGAGGCTGAGGCGAGTGGGTTGCCTGAGCTCACAGGCTCGAGGCCAGCCTGAGCAAGTGCAAGACCCCGTCTCTAAAATATAGCCGGGTGTTGTGTTGGGCACCTGTAGTCCCAGCTACTCGGGTGGCTGAGATAAGTGAATCATTTGAGGCCAAGAGTTTGAGGTTGCTATGAGCTAGGACGTCACAGTATTCTACTAAGGGCGACAAAGTGAGACTCTGTCTCGAAAAAAAAAGAAAAAAGAGGCAGTGCCCATACCTCAGTGGGTAGGGCACCAGCCACATCCATTGAAGATGGCGGGTTCGAACCCAGCCGGGCCAGCTAAAGCAACAATGACAACTGCAACAAGAAAAATAGCCAGGCATTGTGGCAGGTGCCTCTAGTCCCAGCTACCTGGGAGGCTGAGGCAAAAGAATCACTTAAGCCCAAGATTTTGAGGTTGCTGTGAGCTGTGACACCACGGCACTCTACCAAGGGTGATATAGTAAGACTCTGTCTCAAAAAAAAAAAAAATTGAAAGAAAAGAAAATAGTGTGCAATTTAAAATTACACATGAACTTTATGGCCACCCTACATAAATTAGTGATTTTCAAACAGTGAAACATTTTAAAGATCATTAATTAAATTATTTTGGGGAGAAATTCAAAGCACGGTAAGTATATTCTTTTTTTTACTCTTTTTTTTGGGATCAACATAATTAAGTGTGTCATGGAAGTTTGTTTATCAGGTTCAAGTGTCCCGTCAGATTAAAAAAAAAAGGAAAAACACTGATCTAAAGGGATCCCTTGAGTGCACACTCTGCTGTGTCTAGCCTCTTGAGTCAGCATCATGTTTGCAGGCTTCCACCATGTTGCTGGGTATTACAGCAGGGCGCTCATTCTCAATACCATGGCAAGTCCTCGTGTGGATATAGTAGCTTACTCATGCTGTAGTGATGGTTGTTGGGACCATTTTCCTTTTGGGGCTGTTAAAAGTAGCACCATTTTCCTTTGGGGCTGTTAAAAGTAGCACCACTGTGAACACTCTAGTGCTGTCCTCTGGTGAGCACAGCCACACTTTTCAGTGGCACTGGAGCCACTGGTCATGGATGGGCGGCAGGGTAAGAGACACTTTCAGGCCATGCTCCAAAGTAGGGGGGCTAGTGTGTATCCCATCTGCAGTGTCTGAAAAGCCTAGAAGGGGGGTTTGGAAAGGGCCGTGGCTGAGGATGGGCTGGAGGGATGTCTGTGACCTGGACAGCAGTGGACATGGAAAGGAATTCTTTGTGATGTCTCCTCTGGCTGTTCCGAGCCTCCAGGCTTGGGGAGGTAGGGTCAGCAGGCCGATGGCTTCGTTCTGAGGGTGGGCTTTCCTGCTGTACTTTCTCCACCCCCAGGGTCCTTCTGTTGCCTTCCCTTCTCTAGCCAGGGCTGCCTTTCATGGCTGGTCTTTGCCCAAACGGTCTGCAGATGCAGGAGCTGGGGGGAGATGGCCATGCAGCCTCCATGGAGCTCTAGGCAGTGGGCAGACCCAGGAGACTCAGGGTCTCCTGGCCTGGCCTCTTGCCCCAGGAGGAATCGTTTCCTGTCAGGACCTCAGTTTCTTCACTTATAAAACATCAGAGAAAAGTGTCGACCTCACCACGTCTCTTTCTTTTCATCAGCCTGATCCCTAGTATTCTAGAATCTAACAAAGGGAGGGATATGGGGACGCTGTGGCTATCTCAGTGGGCCTCCTGACTTTCAGGCAGTTGGCCCATTTTGTTCAGTTTGTTCATTGCACACCTTCATTACACCATTCATCATTCATTCATTCATCCATCAAGCAGTCTCTACGGCCCTTGCTAACAAGCTCAGAGGGCAGACAGATAAAGTAGGCCTCATACCTGAAGTCCAGGAGCTCTGCCCAGAGAGGGTGTATGGCCTGGAGAAAGTGGAAGAGGCTCAGAGCTGCTGGAAATGAATAAAAAGGAGGGGCGGGTCAGAGAGGGCTCCACAGAAGCATTCTGAACAGAGTCTTGAAGGCCAGTGGAGCTTTGAAGGGCAGAGAAATGGGGGAAGGGGCTCCAAGCAGGGGGGCTGGGGTGTGCTGGGATGGGCAGGGAGGTGTCTGGGAGGCTGACCAGAACCCAGTGGTTAGGCATGCCAGTGTGGTTCCTGCTGCTGTAGTGCAGGGATTCAGGGGCTGAGGGAGCTGCAGGGGCTGGTTCCAGAGTCTTGAATATGAAAGTCAGGAGCTCTGCCTTTGTGGGGGCGAGGGCAACATCCAGTGTCTAGGGTGGCCTGAAGTTGGTGGGCCATTTCGGCCTTCTAGGAAATGGCCAGAGGGGCCTAGCTAGGTAGGGCTTAGAGGTGGTAAAGGCGGTGGGGGCTTGCCTGCAGGACAGGGCTTGGAGCTCACTGTCCCCTCTCCTCTCTCCCACAGGACTTGGTGGCTTTGCTTCCATATAGCGGGGCTGCTGGGGCCTCCTCCTTCTCCTGACGCTCACAGCAGCCTCCAGTCCTGGTCCACTGGCAGAGGCCTTGGCAGGTAAGTGATGGGCTGGCCCCAGTTCTGCTGACACAGGACTGAGGGAGCATTGACCACTCGGGGAGGGAGGTGCTGGTTCAGGGTCTGGAGAGCTGGGAAGGGAAGGGGCTTATTTCTCACTTTCACTCCATCCTTGGCCTTCTCCTTTCTGAGGAAGCCCCACAGTGGAAGGCAGCAGGGATACTCTGTCTGGGACCTGACATTTGATTTTACTCTGTCACCAACTCCCAGTGCAGCCTTGGGCGGCCCTTTCCCTCTACTGCTGAAGGCCTTGGCTTTCTAATCTAGTTCGTGGAAGTAACAATAATAATGTTCTCTAGCATTACGAGCACTTAACTGCATTAGGGGTGATGTGCAGAATGCCAGTTATTTGTTTCACCTTCTCAACACCCTACAAGGTAACTGCTGTACTCATTACCACCACACAGGTGAGAAACTGAGCCTCACAGTAGAGAAGTAACTCATGCCAGGGCATACACCTGGCAGAGCTCCTGACCTCGAGTATTCTGCCTCCGGCTTTGCAGGGGCAGGAGGCAGCGACTGGGGCATCCTCAGAAGTGCTGGATCCTGTCCTAACTCAAGGCAAAGGGAGGGGGACCTTAACAAGGTGATGGTGGCCCCTGGTTGGTCTGGGGTCACACTCATTTGTGATATGATGTGGCATGAAACAGGCCTGGCCTCTGGGTTCCCTTCAAGATGACACCCAGAGCTATCCTTTAGGTGAGGGATGTATTGACTGGATAAGTCTTTCTTCATATCAGTCCCCTCAAGTTCTTTTTGCCTAAGCTGGTATTAAGCATTTACCACATACCAGGCCCAACAACAGGTACTCACAGTGGAGGGGCCTATCCCAGTCTCAGCTCTGTGAAGGAGAGAGATCCCAATAGATGTGGCAACCCTGTAACAGTGGGATGGACAGAGATGGGTGGTTAGAGCACAGTATTCTGGAGAGGTGACCTAAAAGTAAGTTACAGTGTGGGGAGGCAGAAGCAGTCAGTGGATGGTAGAGTCTGGCAGGTTGTACATGCACTCACTTGCATGAATAGTTATGTGTGCCCAGATACATGCACAGACGTGCAAAGTCATGCTCCCGCACATACACACATGCACAGACATCACTTGTGCATGCTGCATGTGTGCACATAGATACTCTTGCATGCACCTCAGTGCTCATACACTTACACATACACACAAAGGGAGGGATATGTTCCCAGGAGAAGGAGCAGTGCAAGGGTTCGTGGCTTCTCACCTCCAAAAACTTCCAGCAGTTCCATGGGACACTGAGTAGCTCTGGGCCAAGGCCAAGTTGGAGCTTTGTTTGTGTGTCTGTTGAGGAAGGTCACTGTCAGGGTTTGGGGGCCAGCCAGTGACTGACCACAGCCAGTGACTGACCACAGACAAGCCCTAGCCCTCTTTGGGCTGTGGCTTCCTCATCTGGAAACGGTAACAGTCACTGTCTGCCTCCAGTGGGGTGGTCATGAGACCACCCATATATATATATGTGGTTTTTTTTTTGAGACAGAGTCTCCCTATGTCGCCTTCATTAGAGTGCCATGCCATCACCCCTCACAGCAACTTATAACTCTTGGGCTTAAGTGATTCTCTCTTGCCTCAACCTCCCAAGTACCTGGGACTACAGGCACCTACCACAACACCCAGCTATTTTTTGTTGCAGTTGTCATTGTTGTTTAGTAGGCCCGGGCCGGGTTCAAACCCGCCTGCCTTGGTGTATGTGGCTGGTGCCCTAACCACTGAGCTACGGGCGCCAAGCCCCATGTACATTGTTGAGAACAATTTCTGGCGCTCCACAGGGCTTTCACAAATTAGAGCTATTTTTCTCATGAGAAGAGAACAAGTCACAGGAAGTGATAGAGGTGTTCATGTCCCTGCTTCTCATGCCCTGGGGAAGGCTTCATCCCAGCCTTCTCAGGCCTGGGCACCCTCCAAATCATGGGCACCACAAACAACTCCAAAATGGTGGGGTTTGTGTCAGCCCTGCCCCTTTCCCCTTCTGCACTTCCTAGGGAGTTGGGGGGTCAGTGGCACCCAGCTTTGGTACACCTACCATATTAGATTCCCTGCAAGGGGACTGGCACCTTGCCTACATGGGCTCTCTAAATGCCCCCAAGAAGGAAACCTTAGTGAACAATTACCAGATGAGGAAACTGAGAATGAGGATAAGGTTCTCAAGGACACCTGCTTATGATGTTGGGACTGGGTTTCAGATGCCAGAGTTTACAGTTTTTGCTCTTTTCTCATGATCTCCCCCTTCAGGGACAGGTCCACTTTGCCCACTTTGCAGATGGGGAAACGGAGGCTCAAAGAGGGTGGGCCACTTAGCCAGGAAGTGGCAGCGCCAGAACTGGGTGCTTATTAACCACTCTGCAGCCCCAGATTCAAGACTTCCTCTTCCTTCCCCTCCCTCCTTTCTGTGGGGCCCTCCAAGTTGGATGGGGTTCCCAAGGAGTCTCCTGGGGTTATCCGGGCTTGAGTCCTGGCCTCCTATTCCCAGGAATATTCGCCATTTTCTTGCAAATAAGAAAGTGGATTGTTGTCTGGAGCTTTCTATCTAGCCTGATCTAGTAACTTCTGCTCCAAGACACCTTTGTAAAGTATCCTTAGGATTATCTTTGGAGAGTTGGCCAGAAGCAAGCTCTGGGGTCCCCAACAGGCCTGGAAGAGCCTGAGGTTTGTGGGGGCCAGGCCCTTGTGCACACCCATTAGGAGGCTTTTTAACCTGCTAGAGTTAGGGTGTGGGACCTCACAGAGGGAGCTGGAGTTTTGTCTGGCATGAGGTGTCGTGTCCATGGAACCTGTGGGAGGAAATCTGGGAAGGATCCCTGGGAGGCGACAGCTAAGCTGTACTTGGAGAAGAGAAATTCGTTAGGTTGATGAAAGTTCATTCACGGCTCTTCACACTCACACCCATCAGAATGTCCTAGAATTAGGACCAGCTACATAATTTGTGGGGCAAAGTGAAAATGCAGAGCCTGTTCCCAATTATTAAAGATTTCAAGGTAGTGACAGCCTCGTAGGGTCCTTCTTAGCTTGGGGTCCTGTGTAACTGGCCATGAGGCCAACCCTGCCTAGCATTAACCATAGTGATCATGGGATTAAGTGCAAATAATTTAGTTTTGTGTTCAGGCTCCAGCAGTTACTTACTGGCTTGGCAGACTTGAGCAAGTCCCCCTCACCTATGAGCCTCACTGGCTGAGGGGAGCGATGGCACCCTCCTCCCTGTAGCAGGAGGCTCCACGGTGCCAGCATCCAGTGTGTCCGAAGCAGTCTGGCACAGAGGCTTCATTTAGGCTAGGATTGCAGTCCCTTCCATTAGGCAGTGGTATTCAAAGCACCCCTGACCTGCCCCCATTTACCTTCTGGCCTATCCTTGCATACCTTGGTTGCCTGGTTTTTGTGTTTCACCATACTGCTTGGTGAGGGAGGTGGGGGGGAGTCTGCTCTGTGTTTTATTTGCAAAGCCTCCTATCTAGGCTGCCCCTAGTCCACCTGTCTATCTTTGCTTAGCAAACTTACTCCTGCAGGTTAGATGCCATGGAGGTTTCTCTGACCCTAGCTCCCTCCTTCCTGACCTTTGCTCTGTGACTCCCTCTGGTAGCTACAATGACCTCTTGCATGGTAGAGTTTTCTGCGGTGTTCAGAGCCCTCTCACACCTCATCAGACCCTTGAGAGAGCCCTGGAGACACACTATTCCTATTTGCTAGATGGGAAAACAAAGTCTCAGATGTGCAACCCCCACCGCAAGCAGCAGGACTGAGGTCAGGCCCACTTCAGGCAAGGGTGTAGACAGTGACACTAGATGACTCCCCCAAGGCATTGGGAAGACTGGTAAAGGGCTCCAGGCCCTTGCCCAGGGGAGGTGTTTAGGTTGCTAAAGAGCGCCTGGTGGCACACAGAGGTCCTGCCAGCTGGAGTAGACAAGTCCTCAGCCCTGCTCTTTTCCTTAAGAGTGACATGGCCCAGTTTATGTGGCCAGGAGGATCACAGACAGGTATCTGTGTGGCTTGGAGGCTTGGCCAAGTCCCCACCAGGCAGAGGTGAGAAGGCTTGGGTTGGCCTGGGTTGTAATAGTCAGCAAAGGCTGACCCCAGGTGAGAGGCAGGTGTGTGACAGCCAGCCCCATCTAGCTGACACTTTGCAGAAGACACTCACAAACGCTTTTGGTGGGGGGATGTGGCGTGATTGGGGGTGTAGATTCTGGGCCTAGATCCTGTCCCTGTGGCCTCAGGTTAGTGACTTAACATCTATGCGCTCCATTTCCTTGTCTATACAGTGGGGAGATATCTGAACCTCTAAGGTTGTGAGGGATTCAGTGAAGGAAGTCATATGAATCCAGGCAGCAGGGCCTCACTTTCTAGCATGTGGATTATTAGTGGCAGCAGAGGGACTGAGGGGTGGAGTGGACCCCAGCACCATGGGCACATAGGTCTTTTAGGAAAGGTTGAAGGAGGAGAGCAGGGATTGGTGTTGGACTAGATAGGGGTTTTGTGCATGGTGATCCCAGAACAGCTGCTGCCCAGAGCTGTTGGGCAGCCACCTGGGGTATAGGCCACACCCTCCCTCACCAGCCCCTCTGGCCCCTGGTGGCGTGTGGCTTCGGGCTGCCAGCATGCACACCATGGGTTGTCAGTCAGCAGACTTCCAGGGTTACAAAGGGTGGGTTTGGGGCTGGCTGCAAAGACCTTGAATGCCAAGTCCAACTCACAGCGGGCCTGGCCGGAGCCCAGCCTGCTGCCGCACAGAGCTAAAATTCCAGGGTCCTCATATGGCATGCCTGTCAGTCCTCAGCGCCAGCTGAGAATGCACACCTCCCTCTCTGTGGCCTGGAATTTGTTGCTTGCAGCCCAGGCCCCTCTACCCCCAGCCTCTGCTGCTGCCTGCCCTGACCCTACAACCCCCACCCAAGCCTGGAGCTGGAAATAGTCTATAAGTTTATTGCTTACTCCTGCCCAAGGTGAGACACCCCTCCGGGTCAGCAGGG